AGGCGAAGTAGACATTATTTCAGTCGCGGAAAGGGTAAGAGAACTTCGGATCGAGAGAGCACAGCTGATCAATCGATACAACACAGGGAAGATATCAACGAAGGGTGGGTACCGTTCGACCAGGAATGAGACCTTAGCGAGGCCTTTCGAGGTGCTAATTTGTCGCGACCTCTACAGTTGCGGACCTAGCACTTCCACCCTCGGATTGGACCCCTCAGTGAGCTTAGCCTGACTTTTGCCTTCAAGGCACAGAGCTCACGATTTGGCCAATTCGGCGGCTGAAGGGAAGGTGCCATTAGTCATTCTACACTATTCTACAAGGTAGAGCCGAGGGAGGGGATGGGAGAGGGGGAGGACATAAGGGGACTATCGTTGCAAACGCTAATGCAAGTGGGGGCAACTCCACTTGGTCACCTCTTGGATTGAAGCCTTCACTGGCCTTCCCGGCTTCTTAGACAAATTTTCTATGCCCTCAGCTGCCAATTCTATGCTTGGGATTGACTTCTGGGCTACAAAACCGTTCTCACATACATGTGGACTTCTTTTTTACTTTCAACATTATTGGTTGCTGGAAGATGCGAACGACTTAGGTTTAAGGTAATCCTCAGTTCTAGGACAAAGCCTAATGGTGAAGGGACGGAACACCAAGTTGCGCAAGCAATTTTCATTTCGTCGAAGTCCCTTCCTTACTGAGCTTAGTCCTGGGGCCGGTTGCAGCAAGTAACAGCCAGGGATGATGGGTCCCCAAAACCCTGCGTCTCTACTCCGGTCGATGACGCAATCCTCGTGATCAAGAATGGGGGATGCGTATAAAGGAGCAAAGTTCTACGTACCCATCCCCCGGCCAGAGATTGCTGCACCTGGCCCAAGGGGGGCCCTTACCATCGCACCACCGCGTTGCCCCTCCAACTACGTTAGCATCACCAATGGCATCAAAAGAAAGGTTAGGTTTGAGAAACGGTGTCCAACATTCCATAAGCATTTTGTTGCTTTGAGGCACACCTTCAAAGATCTTTATCGATTCTCTTGACATGTAATGGCGCATAGGCCGCACTTGCAGACGCTGCTTACCGTGAGGCGTAAAATAATGGTCCCCTTGTATTAGTTTTGCACTCAGGATGTACATATACTCTATTTCGGAAGACGAGAAGAAGATCGAGTGCAGACCACACATCATAAGAGACGACGGCCAAGAGAAAAGCGGCTTTTTTCTTGGCCGTCGTCTCTTATGGTGTGTGGTCTGCACTCGATTTTCTTCTCGTCTTCCCGAAATCGAGGGTGTGTACAATGGCATAGCTCCTGATAATAAACTTCAGCATTTTAGGTTAAGTTATATCGGTGGAAATTCAGGTTCTGAGAAAAATTTACAACGGGGACGAGGAATGGATTAAATATGAAATTGAAGAAATCAAACATGGACATCGAATGGAAAAAATGGCAAAGGAAGAGCATGCAGGTTCGTTTGTGACTGCTCTGATCTTTGGTCACCCCACCGTAGCACTATCGAACTTCTTCGACTCTCCCGATCAATTTTGGGCTTCAGCCTCCCATAGAAATCATAGTACATCTGCCCTTTTTTTGGGGCCACGAGCGTTTCATTAAATATTTTCACGACTGCACTTATAGTTACTCTACCTATTTATCCTCAGCCAATTTTCAACCCCTTTTTTAATCGAAATCACCTGAGATTGCAATAACTGGTATCTGACGAGAATCCCTACCACGATACCGTCCGTTGCTAAAACTATCAAGGGAGTCGTGATTGTGGTGTTGGAGGGGGGACGTATTTGAGGCTGTCGAAAGGTCGAAAGGGGTTTTATTGTGTGATGGGAAGGGGTAGTGGGAATTTATGAAAAAAAGCATAAAATCGTGAAAATCAGAGGATTAGCCGCTTGCCGTCGTCTTGTGAGACAGATTTCCCGTCCGCAATAACACCGCCCCCCCTCCCACTCGGAGGAGAGAGAGCTGAGCCGACTGGCTCAGAATTAAGTGCTAACAGAAACAGTCATGATATATAGGGTTCTGCTCGCTGGGGGGGGGGGAGGTGCTACGGAGGTCGTATCGAAACCCTCGTGGGATGAAATTTCCTAAGAAGTGCCACGTTGACTCTCCTCCGTCCAGATCACTTCTATATATTTACTTCCTTATGGAGTAAAATGTGATAAAACGAACCTAATTTTTCCTCGGCCACGGGTTACAAGAGCAGTTGCAGAAAATAACCAAGGTCTGCATTCCCGCATATGCTTTGCAACTTGAGTGGACGTGGTGCTCTACTAGCAGGTGGTGCCGCTTTCTACGCGTACTGTCCGTGGATCGTGCGCCACCCAAAACAATTAACCCTTTCGGGTCGGCTATTGTTCTAGACATCCCTGGGTAGTAAAAACGCTGATCTAGGGGTTCAATCGCATTCGTTCACCATTACGATTCCGAGTAGAAGTGGAATGCGTGGCGTGTCCCGGAAATGACTGACTAACGCTTTATCCGTTGTCTACCTTGCAATGTGCAGTTTGAAATGACCCATTGAAATTGAACTTTCAAAAGGTAGACAATCTGAAAAAATCCCATTGATTGCTATTCCCTTCTAGGAAATGGTCCGCTAATACTGAGGATTCTTCGAACACCTCATGTACTCAAAGCTCTATGCATTGGAAGTCTCATACAGGCATTCCAACAGCTCTCTGGAATCAATACAGTCATGTGAGTACGGTTTTTTCATCGAGTTGTTCAAGGTGATGAAAAAATCCTAGGAGTAACGAGCTACAAAAGCTCTAAAGGGTACTATAATTCTAAAGCGTTTGAAGCCTTTAGTTACGATGATCTGGTGGTGATTAATTATAGAAGAAGAGGTTTTTTCTGTTGATTTGAACGAGCTTACGGCCGGTATTCTCTCTTGTGGGCGGGGCGGTTTCAGAGGACACAGACAGGTTTTGAGCTGGGAGCCTAACTGCACTGCAACTAGCGCACCTTCCGCCGTCTGGACACAACACCTAGCTTCTGCGGCGGGTGGTTCCATTGGTGCATTTACTTTCCTAGTTAAGGCCTACTCTATCCTAATCACTGCCTTTGAATACGAAATCCGAGTCAGAATAACTCCTTCAGAGTAATCTAACCATACATAGTGCCGTGGTCTATTTCAACGAGAGAATTGAGGAAATTCGGTGAAACTTGGAGAAATTTCCGACGTAAACATTAATTTTTTCACTACCACTTCGTGAGTGCTTATTGATGATTCGAGGGCTTTTCCTGCACTTTCATTGTTTTTGTTATTCCTTGAATTCTACTGAACTGAAGCATAATTTCAGCTACGAATCTACACAAATACAAATTCATTTATTGGGAAAACGAAGATGAACTGCAAAGTTTGTGCATGCCAATTATGTAGAGGATGCGGGTGCTTTTTTTAATTTATATTTGAGGGATACAGTGAAAATCCATGTCGAGCATATAACCCTTCAATCAAATAATCACCATTATACACTCGATTATCGTATTTCTTGTCTTTCACCGGTACTACGACAACTATTCAATCGTTGGTTGTGACCGACAAACACGCGACATATGATCGGCTGTCGGCTTATGGTAACGGTGGCAAAGAGTGTGCATACAGCTGCGAGTTGGGTGTCAGAGACCGGGGCATTTGATGGCAAGCCATTGAAGTGATCCTTTTGACTGCCTCGGCGCCTTCTTATCTGACAACAGACTTACCTCTATCATTTTTTTCCTATATCTTTTTTCCTACTGCGTAAAAGCGAGTTTCAGGCTTGGTAGCAAGCCCGCCCCCTCGCCGCCCGTATCACGTTTCAAGCTCCCTCTTCTTTCTGACCTATCCCCTTTTTCCCGCGCTCATACTTTTCGACTAAATAAGTCGTAGGACTGCGCTTCTTCAGCGCACACTCTCCCATCGTGGGCAGGCCTCCGCCCACGTCATGTATGCTTGGTACACATTAGACATTGCTTCCCTAAACCAAATTTTTTTCTGCTCTGTAGGCTTTTTCCAAACAGAGTTATGAGTTTTCACGATAACTCCTATTCCATAGAACGCCCCGCCACGGAGTGATTCCCTAATCCGACCCCTACTAATTCAAGCAACTTTACACTTTTTCCTAGTGCGAAGCTGTTTTGTGATGATTCGAAGTTTTGGTCTTCGGTAGAGCTCACTTTGGTGCGCGCCACGTGCGGGGCTCCGCTTAGCTGATGCATGTTTTGTACTTCTCAAGACATGGCCCATCAGCCACGCTTGACCCGGTCTCTGCAGACGGATCTAGAGGAGCTAGGATTTTCTTTGTGACAGACTATAGAACGACACGGAGCACGACAAGACAGAAGACAGCGCAGACAGACACAGAACACAGACGACTGGCACACAGGACCACAGCAAAGACGCGGACAGACGAAGAAGCAGGACGACAGAGACAGACAGGAAGACAGACAGACAGACAGAACACAGACACAAAGGACGCACACGATTGAGCGCTTTGTTGCAAGTAGAATGACAGCCAGTTACCACTTCGATGTTTTCTGAGGTGAGGACAAAACTTGTGAAACAAAAACAGCGCTGGTTTCAGACCATCGACCGAGTCGGTGATTTCCTGGCATTGAGCCGATATGTTCATCTTGGAACTTCTCCGTTACGCTTTCTCGAATCAAGGAATTTTCGATACAATTTTAGGTTTTATTTTAGGCAGTGTTGATAGTCATTTCTTTCTTCCTCAGTGTCACTGAAACTGCGCATACTCTACTTCCTTTTTCAAGCAATAAACAACAATTTAATCGTGAGTTGGCCTTCTAAAAAGTGCTCTCTAACTGCCTATTTCATTTGTGAATTTCCTAAGATGGTATTTTCAGCGGTCAATGCCTTCGGAACGTTCATTCCGATAGCACTGGTTGAACGTATGGGACGTCGTATTTTGTTCATGGTTTCCATGACGTGTGTCATTGTTTCACTTCTCGCCATGGGCGGCGCATTCATTCTTATCAACAAAGTATGTGAGAATTTCTGAGAGATTAAATTGATTTTTGATTAAATTCTTCATGTATGATACTATGACAAGCAAATATTGATGGAAGCTCGCATCACTGCTTAGCAAAAAATCAATCCATACCGCCATCAAGTTCGAGTGCCGGTATAGCGGCCAGTGCTAGTGATTTAAAGGCACTGATCACGATGGCTGGAGGGCGGCGCGTTTGATGACCAGTTGAACCTCTTTGACCCCTCACCATTATCAGCAGCCTACTTCCCGGACTAGACTCCTCACTGCGCTAGGAATGTGAATAGGACCGCCTCCTCAACGTCCTTCCACCAATCACGTCAACAAAATTCGGGGATTTACCATTCATGAGACATATTTATCACACGCTCGACGGCCATTTTGGGACAGAGGGTGGGTTGGGCTGTTTCGACTGGTCTCAGGTTCAATTACGGTAGAAACAGACATGATGGTAGAGTGGCGGTCAGGAAGTAGGCTGCTGATAATGGTGAGGGGTCGTAAGTTTTTGAAGCAAGCACTAACGCTGAAGTTGACCCTGTTCTCTACAGATCAGCTTTATTTTTCTAACTTATGAAATAAAATAAAGTAAAATGGCCCAATTTGTGCCTTGGTCGAACGGGACCGCTGTCCAGCTATTGTGATCACCGCCTTCCGAGATCTTGAAAATTCTTGGATCACGATAGGAACCTTCTAAAGTGAAGTTCATTTCAGCAGTAACAAGCAGTGTGCCCAAATCTGTGCAAAATTTCACCTTTTCAAAAAAGTTTGAATGGCTTTTTTCCACAGTTGATTCAATTGTCAAATTTTAAGGACTCGGCTGTGACTCTTCGTGATCGGACGTTCATAAACCGGTCGTTCACGGATCATATTGAGGAGCACTGTGAAACGTACAGGTGAGCAAGAACGTGCGCTTCAAAGGAGGGTTTTTGGGCGGAAAGTTCCGCTACTGGTCCTCCCAAGCAACCAGCCGATCGTTGCTCACGCGCACCACCATACCGCTCCGCTCAGTGGTCGGCATTCCGGAGAACGATGGTCGTTTTTTTTTTCAATGATTCCCAGAAAATTTCAGTGGTAGTATGGTCCAGAGAAGAAAAGATTAAGGACCAAAGCCAGTCAAAAACCCTTAAAATGCAGTGATGGCGATGGCTGGAGGCGGTCACTTGATTGCTCTTCACGTCATTGCTAGAGGCGCTAAGAGGAGGTCAGCAACGTTCACAGCTCGATGATAGTCTAATCCTCCAATACCGTTCAATGGCGTTCAACGGAGGCGCCCTCCATTCAATGTGATCACCGCCTTTGAAGACGGAGCTTCGGACAGGAAGAGATCTCATTAGAATTAAGGTAGAGGTGGTCAGTGGTGCAGTGATAAAGAAAAGCCACGAGAAACGGCCCAACCCGAAAAATGGCACCCCTTTTCTTTGCCGACTGGTTTCTGCACTGAAGCGACTCTCATCGACGTGCCATCCTCAACGCTAACGCTCTCTCTGCTGAACGGCTAGAGTCAGACGGTTAGGGGTTACCTTTCGGCGGGAGTGCAGAGGCACGAGCACATCCTGCTAGACCGCTGAGCCGTACTCTTCGCTGCCACAGCCCCATCGTCCCCCCATTTGGGGGCCGCACACTTTCGACTTCAGAGGTCTTCCCTTCTTTGGCTTCCGACCTTATCGTGCGATACTCCAAAGTCAAAAATCCTAAGACAAAGCAGAATGATCGGGCTGAAGCTCGCCTTGTTGCACGGATTTATTCAGTCAAAAATTCAGTGAACTTCATCGTGTTAGCTTTGTGATCAGGAGGATAACTTGTTCTTTTAGCAATTGCGACTTTTGTGTTACGGATGAACGATGCGGTTTCTGCCTGCTGAAAGGACTCAAAACAGGTGCGTAATCAGGAGCCAGGGTATCCTTCATTCATGGTGTCCTTTTAAGGTTACTGTCTTGAGAAAAACGAAAATGCCGATGATGCTCATCCGGTTTCGTCCATGGGTCCTTGTGCCACACCAGCAGCAATGGGTGAGCGAGAGGTCCCCTCTGATTGCCAAGTTCTGATTTCGGTTCAGCAGAATGGCTAGGGTGATTTCAGGATCGACTTATGAATGGGATGCAAACACGTGTCAGACAAAATACACTGTACTCCCAATTGTGATAATGGTTATTTATCTGTTGTCATTTTCAAGTGGTACGCCATTTTGATCGTATTTGACATGCTGATTAGCCGACTAGCTAAGCTGGTAATATCTGCGCCTTACCAAGGTTTTTCTAGATCTATTGTGCTGAAACGGGCGGAAGTAGTGTAGTGGCAAGTACCACGCGAGCGGTCCGGGATCAAATCCTGGGTCGTGAGTCGCCCGGGCCAACCAAGCCTTCCATCCCTCCGGGGTCGGTTAATTGGTACCAGACTTGTCTGGGAGGATAAAAACACTGACTTGTACATCGGCTGGCCCCCGCAAGTCATTGTATAGGCCACATCGCATTCAAACGCCACTACGAATGTACAAATGGAAGTAGAATGCGTGCCGCATCCCAAAAAGGGATTGATCAACGGCAAATGCTTTATATTTATCCTTTTATTTTGCTGAAAAGGTGAGACTGATCCCAGTAAGGAGGGGGGGGGCGATGCACTTGGCAGTGAAGTCTTTGCACCCTAATCGGGCTGGGGTTAAACGAGTCCGTCAAATAGCAGGCCTTTCTACCAGTTGACATTCGTTGCAAGAGTGATCTGGGATGCTAGAATGACAAACAAATTATGAAAGCTGGGTTAGCTAAAGCAGTGCCCTCAACGGTAGGGCAACGCGATCAGGAAACGACAGGCACAAGTTTTGCCCGTGCTCACACGCTTCTGGGAACTTCTGAACGACCGCAAACTGCGACAACAAACAGCCGGTAACAAAGTAAACAGGTTAGAATATTGATGAAATACTGAAATCACACCGACTGACACCACAAATTCATTTCATAGGTCAATCCGGATCCGAACGTCATTAAAATTTCAAATGGAAGTCCAAAGCATGGCGTCTTCCCAAGAAAAGCTGACCAACCTAAAAATGGGGTTGTATAATTTGCTGGTGCCAGATGATACAACTATTAGATCTGAATAAAAGCTGTCAGCATGGCGCATAACTTAGGAGCTCAGCAACATTGAGCACCTCATTCTTGCTTATTTATGGCCTGTACACTTGCGCCTCAACACCAGTAGGCGCGGAACTCAAAAATCTGACGATAGCGGTGTGCGGAGACTTCACAAAGGCTGACCTTCTTCAGGTTACGGTCCGCTACCGTGGGTGGTTAACGCCGGAGTTCTACCCGCTTTGGGCACGTAGCACGTGCGTATCAATAACGACTGCATGCAATTGGACGTTCAATCTTCTCATTGCTCTGACTTATCTATCACTCGGTCAGGCTATCACCAAATACGGTAAGATCTTCAGAATTCGTACACAATTCGTACATTTTTCTCAAACAGGTACAGAACGACTAACTGCAACCCGAGACCATTCAGGCACATTCTTCTTGTACGCCGGCTTCACCTTGGTTGCACTGATATTCGTCTACTGCTTCCTGCCAGAAACACGAGGGTGTTCAATCGACGAGGTTGAGCTGCTATTTATGACGAAGAAAGCTCGAGAACTTGCTCTACGACGGAGTGAAAAGTCGGCAAACAATATGGACTCAAGAGTGTCTACGATAGAACTTCAACCTAAAGATCCGACAGTACAGTCTTGATAGGCAAATATGTAAATATTATTGAAATTTATACATAATACAATAATAAATGTACCTCAGTACCTGTATTCACATTTTTATTCGTCAGCTACTACCGCTCATGTGGCCTGTTAAATTGAATGTTCGTAAGCTTTTGAGGTTGATTTTTGGATTTGAACCTGAGATCTGGACCTGAGATCGTCGTATTAGTTTGATCGAAAGGTTTCTTTCTGCAAATATTTTAAGTCCGGATATCGGGAATGTGTGCAGCCACACTACCATTTGTGGCCAACATTCAGCAGATTTGTCTGCTCCATCTCGATAGTCGCATCAATGGGGAAATCAACGGGGGAAATAGTCCCATTTCTCGAGTTCCGAGCTATTCACATGGGTTCTTTTTCATCCCTGCTTCTTTGACCACCTCCCATCGTTTATATCCCTAGCACCTCCTTCATCGCACAAACCGCCTTCAAGGTGGAGGATAGAATGGGAGAGGCACTTCTCTTCGTTTCCACACTTCCATCCTTTTGGGAAGAAGGAACCGACAAGGGAAAAAGTTGGGTACCCTTTTCGGAATGTAATTGTTCTCAATTTTGGTTCAGAAGCTAATCGAGTAAAAACAAGTAAATCTTGAATAAACGACATAAAAGCCGTAATCCCTGGTCTAGCAGCCACATCAGGTCCTAGGAGAATCGAATGACCAGAGATGCATCAGCGGAAATAACAATGCGTCTCAACATTTTATTTGGCACAAATGCTCTAGAAAAGACAATAGAAGCTACTGAATTTTCCAGCAATTCGGCACAACACAGAAACAGAAAATTCACTGTTGGCTGGTAATATCGACAACTTGAAAAATGGCAAAATCGCTTTCAATTAGTAGCCGTTGACCTAACGGTTCTCTTCCAACCATTCTTCCAACCTTGGACACACCATGACGGTCTCGTTTCGATCCAATTGATAAACTACTCCACCAATGTCCTGACCGTACCACACCTCGTTGGCATGTATGGTTTGGCCTTCGGAAGGGCTAAACATGCAGTGGCCCTCCTTAAAAAAGAGAATCGTGTATTGCTATAGTGCGCTCTCGAAGGACAAAAGAAAAGCAGGCAGAAGTCGTCAAAATTCTATAGAACTGCTGTTCAGTTGACATTAAAAAATATTGTAAGCAGTATTATTCCACCCAGTTTGAATTTTTTGCTGGTGAGACCTCTTATGGTTAGTGACACCATAAAGAGATTTTCATCGTCACTATAATACAAGCATGATTACCCGTGTGCGGTTTTCTAATGGGAACATCAACAATAGTGCAAGAGAAAAGCCTGAGTAGCGCGCCTTAAATAATGTGTCGATTAGGATAACTTCTTTTCATATGAAGGAGTTTTAGAAAGGACTGCTAACTAAAGCTAAAGATTACGATAGTGTGTGTGCAGCAGTGTGGAAACACATGCACCAGTTGAAGTCAGAGGTCGAAGGAATGTGGGGTTTTGTGGCCAAAGGTGCGCTAGCTGCAGCGTACTGGGCTTGCCATTCCTTTCTGAGCCCCGCCACGGCCTGTGCCGCCCCCAGCAGCAGCGCCCTTCGATTATCATTTGATGAGGTATTCCACTTCCAGTGCGTATCCTATACCTTCCATGGGATGCGTTATCAATCAAAGCATGATGCTTGCTGAAATGATAGAGGCTATCAGCATAACATGTGCAAACGACCTCCTAATTGGTTGCTAGCTCGTCCATTATCGGAGGTCAACGGGCAAAGAAAGGGGTCCCATTTTGCGCCTTCTTGACGGATTTTCTTTGCTTTTTTTTTCGCCACTGGGCATTATTCAGCATCTTCACGTATTATTCACACAATCAAAGTTTTGATTTTTACAAAAAACTAAGGTGAACAGAAATTGACCTTGAAGGAAATTACGTAAACGCAGGACGGATCTTCGTAGCACATCTTCATGCAATCTTCAATGTGATCCTTGATGTGAGGCGAACCGTAGGGGTATGATGTAATTTGTATCTCTGCGGAAGGAGGGAGTTGTTTGAACGTGCAGAAGAGACCCGGAGTTATCTGAAATAGTAGAGAAGTGTGAGAAATTAGTCCGCAATGTTGTGTTATGCCTTCCGTGCCATGAAGTTTATTGCTATGGTGGAGCTGATGTTTATTGGTCAAGGCTCATTAACACGAGCAGGCTGCTGGGAACTGATGAACTCGCAGGTCCTGCAGACGTCGATTTGTCAAAACGTTGACCGACAAAGGGATTCATCATTACAACCTGTTCGGCATACAAGCAATAACACAATATTCGGAATGCACAGGTTCCAGGAAAACCAAACACAGAACTAATCTGCAATGTTTGCTGCACAAGAATATCGTGCCGTAGACACGGCGGTTAGGCAAGCAGTCGCATGAAATTCACGATAACCTAGTCTCAAGTCGCGTTCAAACGGTGGCAGCTTGCGCAAAGACCGCAGATAAAGGCTTGGTTCAGCGCCGCTATTCTGGGGATAGTCCTGCTGTGCTGATCGCAAAAACAACTTACCTTCGAGAGATGTAGGAGCATGGAAGTGCAGCAACGGTGGAGCGCATTATTCCTGAAATTTGCCTTTGAACGTGATATTTGTGAATTCGATTAATTTCAAACCCACCCTGCTCCCGAAGCAGAAGCGTACACCCTCAAGAGAGATTGAAACACAATAACCTTACCTTGGACTCGGTAATAGGGAAGAAGCGTCGTGTTGCTAGGCTCCTCCACTCTAAATAGACCACGACCATCCTAAGATGGTTCCATAAATCGTAAATTTTTTTTTTTTTTTTTTTTTTTTTTTTTTTTTTTTTTTTTTTTTTTTTTTTTTTTTTTTTTTTTTTTTTTTTTTTTTTTTTTTTTTTTTTCTTTTTTTTCTCGTAAATTCGTAGACATTGTTCTCAAATTCCATCGAACTCTATGAAGCGTCCCACTGAAGAGACTCGCAGATGCCTATAGAAATATTGGTGCTCATGAGGCGGGATTCGACTACGGTAAATGGCAGATTCCTTGCTTGAATCTTCAACGTGGAATGGTTCTAAAATATAAAGCAGTAGATGTAAAATTCAAAACAATACGATTGCAGGTATGCGCAGGAATCATAAGAGTGACAAATACTGACTGAACGTAGTAATTAATTTGTGTAGCCGATCATGTATGCTTTGTTGAAGGAATCCTTCTCGGAAAAATTATGATTCTATCTCACCCATTAATCACTGGCTTGAGACCTTTCGTTTCATTTCATTTCATTTATCACATGCAGGACGCATGTACAATAGATTAGAAGTTAGTAAAACAAAACTCAAAAACAAAACAAAGCAAAGTAAAGCAGGACATAACGAACTAGAAAGTAGAAACAGAACAATGCATCATTTATTAGGACGGTGGAGATAATGGAAGACCGCCTTTCTAAAACTAGAGAAGGGCGTTATTTGCACAACCTTGCTCATTTTTAAGAATTCCATGCCTGCACGAACCGTGAAGACCTGCGCCCAACTGGGCGGAGTTTGCGACGGAAATTCATAACTCGGTTCCAAGAAGTCCCGGAGACCGGGAAAAAGGTGGATAGAGGTGGGTGGAAGGAGTGGAGCCAACTGTTGTTGGTGGGCGGGGCATTTCCAAAGTGGGCGGAGTTCTCCACAAAACTTTGTGACTCGGCTGCAAGAAGTCCTGGAGACCGGGAGAGAAGTGGGCGAAGGAAAGGAAGTGAATTTCTAATGGTGTGCGGAGGATACACCAAAAGAGCAGGATTCGCCGCCAAAATTATAAATCGGCTCAGGATAGTTCAAAGACTGGGAGATAGGTGAGACATGCAAAGAAATAGGCGGAGTTTACCACGAGGTTCATAAATCGGTCCGGAGGCAGTCCGAGGCCGGGAAAACGGACAATTGGTTGACCATTACGGACAATTGGTGGAGGAAGGAGGGAAGGTCAAAAGCCATCGGTGGATGAAGCATGGGGCAATCGGATAGAATTCAGCTTGAAAGTCAAATATTCGAAGTGTATTGGGCCAAATTCGAAAATTCACGCCGCACCATCCATATCGCCGCAGAACTGTGCTGTGCGCGCAATGCGTGCGGCGCCAACTGGTTTATACATAGCACAGTAATAAACGTATCTCTGTACCTGTATTTACAAATTATTCTATGGCTACTACCGCTCTTGTTGCCTGTTAAGCTTTTGAGGTTGATTTGTGGATTTTTTATGCATGCATTTGTCCTTACACGGTTTTTCCACCAAGATACGAATTGGATTTGTTGAAAGTGCTATCAGAAGGTTGTTGGACTGGATTCGTATAGCAGTACTGGTCCTATCACTGGTCCTGAGATCGTTGTATTAGGTTGATCAGAAGGTTTCTTCTGCAAATATTTTACGCTCGATCTAGTCTAGAATTCGGGAATGTGTGCGGCTACACTACCATTCGTGGCCAACTTTCAGCTGATTTGTTTACTTCATCTAACTAAGAGGGCGGGAAGTGGGACTTAAAGCAGAGATCGACGACCTCTCTAACTCTCTGAACTACACCTTCTTCTAGAGTCTCCTTCTCAAAACGCTTGACGTGGGGGGGGGTGTGAGAGGCAGCGACATCAACTGGAGAGGTGCGCCTGATCGACGTACGTCTTGCTTGAATGAAGCCTGTACTGCGCTCTACACAATTACTGCCAGC